AGATTGATTTTCATCTAAAATTGCTTTCTATTTTTGAAATATTTGTCATTTGTGTTATCTGTAATCCTTAATCCGCTCAATAATGCAGTGGCATAATTGAATTTCTTGGTGTGTACGGCAGTGTCAACTAGCTCAATCAAACAAGTATGATAAAGTCCCTTCTTTTTTTTTTCTTTTTTTTTTCTTTTTTTTTTTAATGCGGCTCTAGAGATTTGAGATTGAGGCCTCGTTTGGCAAATGATTATTTTAGTTAAAAAGTCAAAAAAATTATTAAAAAAATTAAAAAGCTTAACAATTCATATCAAAAAATTAAAGATTTCATTTTCTTTCTACTTTTTGCACATCTTTTTATAAAAAATCAAAAAGTCATTTCAAACATACTAATTTTTTTTATATCACATTTTAGCCAAAAAATCAAAAAATTATTAAAAAAACCTGTTCTCAAACGAGTTCTGTCTAAAATTGTCTTTTCATTTCTTCTAATCTTTTTCACTTGTATTACGTGTTATTCTTAATTAATTCAACAATGCATTGGCATAATTCAATTCCTTCATGCTTATAGAAGCGTTAGTTAACTTAGGGTTGGTTTGGCAAGGACTCATTGGGCTTTTTTGGCTCAATGAGCCATAAAAGACAGAATAGGCTCATGAGCCACAACAGACAAAACATCCCATCCAACCCCATAATCATTACACTCTTTTCTTACAAAAAAATCAAAAAAGTCAAAAAGCCAAAAGTCCTTCCCAAACTAAGCTTTTGAGCCCAGGCTCATATAGTCAAAAAAGTCAACAAGTTAAAAAGCCAACCCACTTCCTAAACGGAGGCTTAACCGAATTAGTCTAATTCGCAAAATAATGCATTCGCATAATTCAATTCCTTGATTTATCTAACAAATCTAATAAAATCTTTTATAATCACGATAAAAATCTAAAGATTTGATAATGTCAAACTAGTATAATCTGACAAGTGTAATAGTCGTTTTGCAATCTGTTTAAGGATTTGAAATTATATTTGGTCTAAAAATTAACTTTTCAATTTTTGAAATCACTTTCATTAAATATCTTTAATATGCGGAATAATGCATTGGCATAATTCAATTATGGATGCATATGAAAGTGTGTGTGTTAGCATAATTAATGAGATAATCTAACAAAGTCATTCTATAATTATCAATGAATTTTGTCTACATCAAGTTGAAAGTAGATTAGTGGCCAATTCTAGAATATAGCATATACCTAAGAGTTGAAATGAATGTCAAACTGATAGCTCAATTGATCACAACAACAGACTAAAATTGAACCCTTATCAATTGTAATTCATGATCTGTGAAACATGCTCTGAGGGTAGAGGTTTTCAATTTTCTCAACAAGAAGAGGAACTAGAAATAGCCAACAAAATAGATATGGTGTTCTCCAAGAAAAAAACAAAAACTTTAGGGTTGTTTTGAATTTAAAATTTATATAAAATAAAATAAAATAGAAGTCAGTTTTTTTATTTTTCACCGCTGTTGTTTCCCTCTAGAATTTCTTTACTCATTTAAAATTTAAACACAACATGAAACATACAGGAGGATTGAGATTGCTAATTTTAAGTTCTGTACAATTTCACTATATATATTGTTACATTATTATAAATTTTTAAATTAATTATTTAACTAGATTTAATAAATGGATGAGATTTGCACATTTCTCACCAGAAAATGGATAGAAGCCTTGGTTTGGTTCTAGTGAACCTTTTTTCTAGTGATTTTTTTTAATTATTAATTTATTTTACTTTTTACATCCACCTACTATTAGACAACCCTAAAAAAAATTAAAAATAGACCACATTTGAAAAGAATTAAGAAAATACACACACAAAAAAAAATCATTTTTCTTTCTTTTTGTTACTTTTTTAAATATAAAAAAATTTGGTTTATTGTTATTAATTTATAGAATCGTCCAATTTAGAAGGGAAAAAAAAACTAAAACTTGACTAAAAAAATTAAAAATTTCAAGGGATAAAAACCTTGGAGAAAGAAAAAATCTAAAAAAGATATTGTTGTGCTTTTTTAGCACCAAAAAATAAAAAATAAAAACTCTCAAGACGGATTGGTTATTTGGTGATCTTGAAATATTATTCCACACCATTTATCATTTGACAAGTTATTCCTCAAAAAACTAACAAAAAATATTATGTCCAAATATTTTAACCAATAAACATCAAATTAAAACATTACATAAATTTGTCTTATAATCACCAAATAATTTCAAGTTATTTTAGTTAAAAAGGCAAAAAAATTATTAAAAAAATAAAAAAGTTAAAAATTCATATCAAAAAATCAAAAATTTCACTTTCTTTCTACTTTTTGCACATTTTTTCGTAAAAAATCAAAAGTCATTTCAAACATACTAGTTTTTTTTATATCACATTTTAGTCAAAAAAATAAAAAATTATTAAAAAAGCCTGTTCCCAAACGGGTTCTGTCTAAAATTGTCTTTTCATTTCTTCTAATGTTTTTCACTTGTATTACGTGTTATTCTTAATTAATTCAACAATGCATTGGCATAATTCAATTCCTTCATGCTTATAGAAGCGTTAGTTAACTTAATCGAATTAGTGTAATTCGCATAATAATGCATTCGCATAATTCAATTTCTTGATTTATCTAACAAATCTAATAAAATCTTTTATAATCACGATAAGACTAAATCTGAAGATTTGATAATATCAAACTAGTATAATCTGACAAGTGTAATAGTCTTTTTGCAATCTGTTTAAGGATTTGAAATTATATTTGTTCTAAAAATTAACTTTTCAATTTTTGAAATCACTTTCATTAAATATCTTTAATATGCGGAATAATGCATTGGCATGATTCAATTATGGATGCACATGAAAGTGTGTGTTAGCATAATTAATGAGATAATCTAACAAAGTCATTTTATAATTATCAATGAATTTTGTCTACATCAAGTTGAAAGTAGATTAGTGGCCAATTCTAGAATATAGCATATACCTAAGAGTTGAAATGAATGTCAAACTGATAGCTCAATTGATCACAACAACAGACTAAAATTGAACCCTTATCAATTGTCATTCATGATCAGTGAAACATGCTCTGAGGGTAGAGGTTTTCAATTTTCTCAACAAGAAGAGGAACTAGAAATAGCCAACAAAATAGATATGGTGTTCTTCAAGAAAAAAACAAAAACTTTAGGGTTGTTTTGAATTTAAAATTTGTATAAAATAAAATAAAATAGAAGTCAGTTTTTTTATTTTTCACCGCTGTTGTTTCCCTCTAGAATTTCTTTACTCATTTAAAATTTAAACACAACATGAAACACACACAAAAAAAATCATTTTTCTTTCTTTTTGTTACTTTTTTAAATATAAAAAAATTTGGTTTATTGTTATTAATTCATAGAATCTTCCAATTTAGAAGGGAAAAAAAAACTAAAACTTGACTAAAAAAATTAAAAATTTCAAGGGATAAAAACCTTGGAGAAAGAAAAAATCTAAAAAAGATATTGTTGTGCTTTTTTAGCACCAAAAAATAAAAAATAAAAACTCTCAAGACGGATTGGTTATTTGGTGATCTTGAAATATTATTCCACACCATTTATCATTTGGCAAGTTATTCCTCAAAAAACTAACAAAAAATATTATGTCCAAATATTTTAACCAATAAACATCAAATTAAAACATTACATAAATTTATCTTATAATCACCAAATAATTTCAAGTTCTTGAGGGGAAAAAAATTTCCCTAGTAGTTCACGGGTGGGCCACTCACTCACATCACAGTAAGCGTTATTGAAAAAAAAAATTAGTACTAGAAAAAATTAACATATTTTTTGCCTTATAGAATTTTTTCAAATTTGATCAATTTTTATTTTTAAGTTTTGACTATAATATTTTAACTTTAAAAAAAATGATGAATTGAAAAAAAAAATCAAATAAAATGCAAATATTTTTGGTATTTTTTTTTTTTTTTTGTTACAGGGAAATCCTCCCACTCTCCCGCAGGTCTAAGGCAGCGCCCCATGAAGAGATCACCAGGGTGTCCTGTTGTCCGTTCCGAAATAAGAGACTATAACCTGGAAGCTTGTCCCGACCTCCCAAAACAAGCCGTTCCGAGTAAGAGACTATAATCTGGAAGCTTGTCCCGACCTCCCAAGGCAAGCTTCGATTAAGTCAGGACTCGCACAGCGGAGGAGCAAACCTACACCAAGTAGCTGATTAGGCATCCTTAAGGTCCAACCTCCTAACTAACAGTGCTTCGTCCAAGAGATTGGCCCAAAAAAAAAAATTGAACTTGTGACCTTAGAGCTGAAACTCCAAGGCCTTACCACAAGAGTCCAGATTCCCTCCTTGAGCCCCCTCCTTCATTCCCTCCTTGCAGGGGTCTTCGGGTCCACTTTGAGGCCCAGTTTTGATAATCCGAACCGTCCATATTTTTAGATTTATTCAGTATATTATACATGTAAAAAATCAAGTTGATCGGATATCAGAAAGTATGCGTTCAGAAAATTGGGACTACAAACTATTTTTTAATAAACAATTTTCCGAACACATACTTTATGATATTCGATCAATTTGATTTTTTACAGAGGATGTATAATAAAAATATAGACTATTTGTATACGGTCCGGATCGGTTCCAATCCGGAACCGTGGGGTTCAATCCGGAACCAATCCGTGGACTACGGATTTTTAATTTTTCAATCCGGAACTGAACCACGGATTCAAAAAATCAATCCAAACCTATCGGATTGGACTGGACTGAATCGAATTACGGATTTTACGAATTTCTTGCTCAGCCCTAAATACCACAACTCCTTGGGTTATTTTGGTAACTTCACAAATCAACTTTAGGAGTATCGATAGAGGATCTTTTTTTTAACTCTTTTTTTCCTGTACTTTTTTCTTTGATCAGCTGTCACTGTTGTTAGCAAAGAGTTGAAACTCAGACAGCAACCACACTCTGTCCCTTTCTTTGCCACTTCTTTTCTTTTCTCTCTCATCATTTTCTTTCATCCCCTTCTCTCCATTTCACCAATACCAATGCTCTCCAACCAAAAACCCTAATTAGAAGGGTCAAATTCAACAACAATATCTCACTCTCCCCCAACCCAACCCAGTCTTCAATGGTCCCTGTTTCAGTAACTTTCTCTATTTTATTTTACTACATTCATCTCCCTCTCTCTCTCTCTCTCTCTCTCTCTCTATTATAGTAATCTATACATATAACCTATATATAAAGCTCAACCCAATAATTCTTGCAGTGACTGAGTGACCACCCATTAAGTCATTTGTGTACTACTGATCCTTCTACTCAAAGGGTACGGACTGTTTCTCTCTCTCTCTCTCTCTCTTCTGCTCGTAACCCCCGTTCTTCTTTGATGCTTTTTATGGGGGGCAGGGAATGAATGGCTGGGAAAGCTCAAATCTTTTTTTTCTTCTAATCCATTTGTTTGTGTAAGTACTAATTTTCCCACATTTTTCTTTTCATGGTTTCAATTGTTTATTCAGTTTTGTTACTCTCATCTGACATTTGTGAGTTTTTCAATTAATTTTTTTGAAGTAGTTTAGGCTGTTCTTATTCTATTCCTAGCCTTCTGAAAGTGCGATACTTTCTCCTTTTAGGTTTCTAAGCAATTTTGAGTATGTGGGGGTAGTTACCAACTTACCCCAAGATTAGTTCAACTGCTCTTCCTAAAGTTGTTGTTCGGCCTACTTATCCTCAATTGGATCGTTTTTGTCTTCAATTGGTCTCGTTTTAGGTAAGTTTCATCGTATCAGAGCTCGACGACTCTAATTCTGCCTACTGGGTTTTTGTTGTTTTGCCTTAATCAGGAAAACCCACTTCTCTGGACTTCGATTTACTTATTCTAATTCTGCCTACTGGGTTTTTGTTGTTTTGCCTTAATCAGGAAAACCCACTTCTCTGGACTTCGATTTACTTATTCCTTTTCTTCTTCTTTTTTTTCTTCTGTTTTTTATGGTTCGAACAATTGGGATTTATGGTTTTGTGAATTCAGTTTCAGTAGAGTTGTTGAAGTTGTGTTAGATCTTTGTTGATTCGTAGATGATAGATAGAAGGGATCACAGAGAATAGATTGTAGGAGTGAAAGTGGAAGGTTGCTATGGACTGGGAATTGAAAGCATCAGGTTGGGATTTTACTGATTTTGGGCGAGAAGACGATACCCGCCTGGCGACACTAGTTGGTTCGAGTAGTTTAGGAGTGCACAAGAATGGGCGAGGCTTTTCAGTTGATTTGAAACTAGGTGGATTAGGAGATTTGGGAGATGGGTCAATTGACAAATTGAAGGAACCAGGAGGCTCCACGATTGCATCGTCACCTTCAGGGTCGTTGAAGAGAACAAGGGCTATTAATGGGACTCAAAATGTTTCATGTTTGGTGGACGGGTGCATAGCTGACCTCAGTAATTGCAGAGAGTATCATCGGCGCCATAGGGTGTGTGAGCGCCACTCTAAGACCCCAGTTGTCATTGTCGGTGGCAAAGAGCAACGGTTCTGCCAGCAATGTAGCAGGTATATATGAATTGGGCATTCCAGAAATTTATTCTGCTGATTCCACAAGTTCAAATTTCATTGGGTTTGCCAGAAATTTAAACAAATGTTTCTTTGCTTTGTTGTTATAAATGTAACCATTCCTATAATCAATATAAAAATTGTTTGAAGGAGACCCTGGCTTGATGTGTTCACAATTATTTAAACATGACACGATTATTCTCTGAATTTCACATGGATGTCTTTTTCTTGGAGGGTTCGTCACGTGAAGCTATAAAACTCTTGAAAATGAACGAATCTGAAGCTGCAAACTTTCTTGAATGCCATTTATCTTTGTAATAACCGGTTAGGTTGTGAATTCATTATGTCAATGCTTTGAATGAGATTCCAGCAACTGTGCTACAGATTGCTGCTCGTCTATGTGTGGCCCAGATGTGAAGGCAAACCTATTACCAGCGACTAGAAGTCAATTGCTTTGCCGTATTTGGTAAAGCTGTTTTTGAATCAAGAATTTGGGTGAGGATTTGTTGAGGGAAAAGTTAAAATAATAACAATAATCTAGCTTATATTTCATTCACTTTTCCTTCTCTCTCCACAAATTACTCCTCAAATACCTTAATCTAAACACAACCTAAGAAAACCTGCCTTACACTTTTAAAATCAATTTTAGGCGATGAAATACATTCTGCTAGTATATGTTGGCTTGTCCAATCATTCTGAATCTTGCTGCATGAATGCACTATGAAGCCAAGAATGCTTTCAATGATCCTTTCATATCCCATGGAGGTTCTCACCTGCACTTGTTCTTTGATTTGCTTTTTTGCTTTCACATATTGCATTAAAAGCATGCAAGCGAATATATTTGGCGTGCTTGCTAAGATAATAATGGCTAAGATATTTGGCGTGCATGTTTCGGTTCCTGATTTGTGTTGAAATGGACTGTCAGATATAGTATAACTGTTCTTAAGCACAACAACTTTTCATATAAAGATTATGAAAATCTGGTTCTGCCAGACACGTGAGCATCTGAACAAGGACATGTTGTATGAAACATTTGATTTTGATGGTACTCCTTAGTTTTTGGTGAAAATGGATGAATGCACTATGATGACATCAAAAATTAAAAAATCAGTGTACTTGTGCTGAAAAATTAGAATCTTCTAACCATCATCGTCTCTCGTTGATTATTTGTCTTGTAGAAATTCAAGAATGCAATTGCTATATTTAGCTAAGTTTAGGAAATTCAACCGGAGTGTGGCAGGATATACCCTTTGTGTGAAATATTGTTGTGCATGCATTTACAATGTTCATCCTATGCATACATAGGTTGTTTTTTACTCATCAAGCAAAAAAAGGGTTTACTTATAATTATGGACTTGAAACCATAGACTTGTGCTAGTGACACAAAGTGGGAGACTTTGTGTTTGGTAGAGTTTTAAAATTATGATTTGAGAATAGAGTTGTATTTTGAGTTTGTGAGTTTTGAAATTATGATTTGAGTGTAGAAAATTTGTTTGATTATGAGTTTTAAAAAGAGTTTGAATTGAGTGATGTGGCATATGATATTGAAAAGTGGGTGTTTTGAAAAGTAGGTGTGGAATTAATTGTCTAAAGCTGTAATCAAACAACACACTCAAGCTAAGGGATAGAATTAAACTTCAAAAGCTCTACCAAACAAAAGTGTTTTTCTTGTTTATTTCTTTATTTATTTACTTAATTTTTGGTAGGAGTGGTTAGAGTTCAGCTTATCTTTGAAATATCCCTGTCATCAATACTGGTTATTTAATCTCTCTCTCTCTCTCTCTCTCTCTCAAACAGTGGTTGCACTGGTTTTTCACCAACTAGATCTGTCATTTTGTAGATTTCAATCTCTTGGGGAGTTTGATGAAGAAAAGCGAAGCTGCAGGAAACGCCTTGATGGTCACAACCGGCGTCGGAGGAAACCTCAACCAGAAGCCTTCTACATGAGCTCTGGGAGCTTTTTGTCCAATCACCAAGGTTTGGATTCTTTCCTACACATTCTATCTAAAATAATCCATTCTAACAACTGTTTGATCATCAAAAAAAATATTGGGTTATGCAACTAATTGCTTGACTATAGCAAGTCCAGCTTGCAAGTGTCGTACAAAATCTGTAGAACCCACTGTAGGATTCTCTTTTTTGATATCAACAGAACTATCAGGTGGGCTGAGCTTTTCTCAAACTTAACTACATCACTGTGTCAAGATCTGGGCTTCCATTTATCTACAATGCTGCATTTTAGTACTTTTGGAGTTGAATTCATTGATTGGTTGGTAAGGCTTACTGTTAGCGTCTTGTGGTGGGTTTGAGTCACGGAAACCTCCTCTCCATAAACGAAGTAAAGTTGTGTACATCTTGCTGTCCTCAGACCCGCTTTAACAGGAATCTTGTGCACTAGGTCTCTCATTTTTTAACTGAGAAAATGTCCCAGGGCTACAAAGCCTCCAGAGAGGCCTTAGAAGAAAGGATTGATTGCAAAACAGAGGGAGGATCAGAGAACCCATTAACAGGCAACATGCCTGTAAGGTGAGGGGACACCTGCCCCTAAATGTGTCTCACCATTTCAACACAATATTAAGGCAGTGTAAAATACTTACTTGGAAATTGATTGGTTTCCATTTGTGTTGTTTTTTTGGCTTAAAAATCTATTATCATGAGGTCATCATATAAAATGGCAACCACTGTGGTACATGATAATTCTGTTAATGGCTCCCGTTCCAATCTATAGATTCACTTAATAGCGACACGTAATGCAAAAATAACTAAGGTGAATTGTGATGTCATACTTCGTAGGACAGTGATGATAAGCTATAGTTCACCCAGTTGCCTGTTGTTATGATATGATCTAACAGAGCATCCTAATCCCCCACATGTTAATGAGCTCTCTGTTTTCGGAATCAAATATGCTTAATTTGTTTTAGTATGAGTGGGTGAAATTAAATTTGGGATTTGATATTTCTTCTTAAAATGTAGGTGTCAGACTCTTGAATTTCACTGGTCCACAAGCATATACAACCTCTACAACAGGTGCTGTTCCGACATGGCCCAGGGTTTCCGAATACCACCAAGACTTACATGTTGTCAATCAACAGAGTACAACCCCAAATACTTTAGGCTGTGTCTACAACGGAGGAGACAAAAGATTCCCATTCTTGCTTGCAAACGAACCTGAAAGAAGCAGCAACCAAGCAGTCCCTGAATTTTCCATCTGCCAGCGACTTCTCAATAACAGAGCCTCCCCAGAAAGGGGTCGGGGTTTCCAGAAAATACTCTCTGATGGATTTGCACAGTCTGTCAATTCCAAGCTTGCTCTCTCTCTTCTGTCATCAAACCGGACACAGAATTCGGAAACTAGTTTGACCCACATATTGCAGCGGGATATGATACATCTGAATCAGCCAATGGGTATGAGCTTCCAATTTGATGGTCTAGCTCAATACTCGCGCTCACAAGGGGTGGTGGAGGAGAAGCCTCCAGTGTTGGTTCCTCAGGGCAGCAACACCAACAATCTTTGCAATGAGATATTTCAAGTGGCGCCGTACGATTTCTTGGAAGAAGGGGCTTCACAAGTGATTCCATTTTCTTGGAAGTAATTCATTTTGATGGCCCTTGTAAAGCGCCTGCTAGTTCTCTTTAGATCCAATTATTTCTTGGATGTTCTTCCTCTGGTTCTTAGATACTGAATTCTAACGCTCTTGATTGATTTCGTTTACCAGTGTACACATTGATGATCTTCAGCTGACTCAAACATCATATATATAATTTATTTCTTCCTGCAGATAGTGGATATAATATGTGCTTGCACCTTTACCTATGCTGTCCATTTGTCCATTTGTTTCAACAGAAAACCATTTTCAATGGAAACATTTTATTTGAAAAAAAATTGAAAAACTGTTTTTCACCCAAACAAATGGAGCCATTGGTTGGACACGTAAAGCGTGGGGAAGGATAGTAGTTAACACCAACAACACAACATTGGATTCCATACAATCAATACATATGTGAAACAGATTGAAGTCACCCATTACAATACAACCATGACCTTATCTTGAGTTGCATTAGCTCGCTGGCTAAACAGAATTAACAAGAAAAGAAATTAGTTCCAGAAGAGGAACACAAATGCAGTCCATTTCATGAATGAATCAGACATTCCTCAAAAGCTAATCTTAGCCAATCCAATTGGCACGAGGTCCACCAACAAAGCACAAAGTCCAGCCACGTTGGTTAAAGTTGAAAGCGGCTAAGGGTGAGATCATAGTTTGTCTAGTCTTCCACGGAAAGAAACGAAGAAAAATTGGTCACACAAATGTGAACACAATAAAATGCATGCCAATAATCTTGTGCTAAAGTATTACAGTGTGACATGCTACAGCAAAAGACTTCATCAAAATGACAACACTTATTCATGGTATACTGTCTATCAGACTATATTGAGTACCGTTGGAAGTGCTAAGAAAAATAGAACAAAAATTATTTTGAGTCCTAAGTGAACTACATTGATCAAGCTTTTATACAAGCATAGACTGAATTCCATGGACAACGGAAGAATAAGCGGTTTCTATATATAAACCCTGGGTCTGATCGAAAACGTCTAGTGTTTGTCTCCCTTGGGAATATCTTTTCCAGGCAACTCCTTGGGTTTAACCTTCTCCATTTCCCTATAATAATAAGAAAAAATCAAATCAAATCAAATCACAAGTTATATTCATTCTGATAAAAAACTTGAATCGTAACAGATACAGATACAGATAGAGAGGGATGAATTGTGGCCTCATTTGATGAAGCATAAAATCATAAAAAATGGTGAAGCAATGTAGCCCTGTATTAAGAAATGAGCTTAAAATAGAATAATCGTCCTCCCAAACTTTATTTATTTTACTTTTCTTTGTTTCAGATGTGTATAAATCTACATCAAACTACAAACTGATATAAAAAAATAAAAATAAAAATAAAAATAAAAACTAATGTAAATAGTAGGAAAATTTATGCAAAGATATTTAATGGAAAAGGATTGGTGAAGTCACTTGAACTTTAATGCCAAAGGCTAGCTTTGTGTATATCCAATGAAAAACGATTGTTGAAGTCTGCTCATCACCATTTAATTGAGCCCATTTCCAAGTAGACAACTACACACCACTTCCAGCCATAAAAATTGCAGGAAATTTCCAATTCCAAATAAAGATTATAAGAAACCCAACAGAGAAAGATGAAAATACATAACAGGCAGAAAAGATTTGCACTACAAAAGGAAGCTGAAGCTATCATAAAGACTTACTCTTACACCTACTGGAACTCAAGAACTATTAAGCTATAACACCACTTTGTTTGTTGATTGGGGATTTAAGGATGAATTTGAAAACGAAAAAAAAATTTGAAAAACAAAAAAAAAAAAAAAAAAAAAAGGTAAAATATAAATAAAATATATCTATATTTCGCTCTGTTTGATTTGGAGATTTGAAAAGAAATTTGAAAAAGAAAAGAAAAAAAACGTGTAAAATTAGGTAAAATATACGGATATTTTACTTATATTTCACTACTTTTTAAATCTTCAATCAAACACAATATTAGTTACACACATCATTTTCCTTTTACTTTTCAATTTCTTCCCCAAATTCCCCAACCAAACAGAAAGACTTGAATAACTTATTAACTAGACAAAATTTCAATTAGTTCACTTCCCAAACTGTACAATTTTAGTGTTCTATTCTAACTACAAACAAATATATATATATATATATATATATATATATATATATTTGAAGAAATGTAGTTGTAAAACAGAAAACAAAACTAATAATTTGATGGACGCTTACTTGGCGGCAGTGGAGGACTCTTGTTCGAGCCACTGGCGAATCTGACGGACGTTTCGACGGAAGATTGTGGAGGTTTGCTTCACATCGCTCCTCATCAGCAGAATCACTGCGCTCACTCCTGCCACCGTCAGAATTAAGTTCGTCAAAGCCATTTACACACACACACACACTCTCGCTCTCTCTCTCTCTCTCTCTGTGTGAAGTTCAAAACCCTAATTTTCAATTTCGATGATCAAATCCACACAAAGTGCTAATTGATCCAACTACTCGACTGTGTATATTTGTGTGATTCTCTCTATCTATTTAGGGTTTTAGAGAGTTCTTGGAGCGGAAGAAAATTACCAAGAGAGAGGAAGGGAAGCAAAAAGCAGAGAGAGAGGGGAAAGGACTTTTGGGTGTAGTGAAAAAGTTATGGGATTAAATGGAGATCACATGTTTCCCATGGGACCTATGGGTAATTTCCCCAAAAGGGAAAAACAGAGACACTGAAATTTGAGCGTTAGGGCTCCAAGATCATGTGGGTCTTTGATGGGCCGTAATCTTAATTATACAAGTCCAATGGGGTAGCTATCCTGGGCTTGAGTACATGAAGCCCAACTCAATTTGGGCTTTTTCCTGACCGCATGGCGGTGTTATTTGAATGGGCCCTTTTAACTCATTGTCCATATTCATATTCAATGCTGTTTTTTTTTTTAAAAAAAAATTACCTAGGAGTCTTATTTAAAAGCGGAGAAGTCTATTTAGTCTTATAACTTTTTGGATGTGCTCAAAAGTTCATTATGTGTTTTTTTTTTCATTATTTTCTGTGCATTTATTCTTCTCTGCCTCTATCACTTCATAATTTTCGGCGATCATACATTACTTCTTCTCTTTCTCTTTCTAATATATAATCACCGGTGACCAACGACCATCATCGATTTGTTTCACCGGCAACCATTGACTCCTTTCTTAACCCACACCAACGGTGAAGGAGATGAGTAGATCTACTCAAATCTGATGTGCATCTATTCAAATCTACATCAGATCTGAGTAGATCTATATAAGATCCAACTAGATCTAAATAAAAACTAGTTGTCGGAGTACAATCTTCTCTCTATATCTGTTTCTCTCCTTCGATCTCTCAATTTTTCTATCTTTTCTCTACTACAGACTTCTATTTTCCTGTTTTAATGGAGAAAATTTTCAAATTCTGAACAAGTTGTTTTCGAGTTTTAATTACAGGCGGCGAAACCTGTAAAATTTTACAGTTTTAATTTTTTTTGTGCTGAAATGAATCATTGCTTTAAAGCTATAAAATTTTGCAATATCATAACTTTTTTTCCAGTTTGATTAATAAGGATAAATGATTAATAGAATCATGTTTTGAAACTGTAAAAAAACTGTAATATTTTATAGTTTGAAAGATTACTTTTCAATTTGATCAATATTGGAGATTAGTTGCTTAAACTCTATAAAAATTGAAAAATAATATATATATTGCTTTAATTTATCGTGTTTATTACAAATGTATTAAAACTAATTTAAATGTTCAAGTTTTACACAAAAGCCCAAAAGACAAAACTTTACTAATTCAAAGTAGTAGTAATGATATTAATATAAATATTCCTAAAATGATTGAATGGAAAGATATTACTCTCCCAGACCAATGGGTTACAGTCAATGAAAATTACAAACATAATAAAAAACAGTCAACTAGTCAAGACATCCAAGACATTCAACAATTTACTGATGGCTCAGTTAGAATTAAATTTAATAGATCTACTCAATCCTCTAGACATAGTACTTCTAGTATACCAACTAACACTGAAACAGAAGATAAAATATTTAATACACCTTTATTCAGAAAAAATAGTCAAATTCATATTGGTCAAACTTCACATAGCAAAATGAAAGGAGTAGATGATTCTGCAACTTCCCAGATTAGTAAACCTGTCTACTCAAGTTATACACATCTTCCTAAAGAAGATACTGTTTCTCAGGATTCACCAACAAAAACTGACTTTGAAGTTATACCTCCAATAAACCTCCAATTATTAACTATTAGTAAACCTTTTGTTCCCGACTTAGATAAATTACATATTGAATTTAAATCTAAGAATAATAAAGTTAAACACCAAGCTTACAGACTTAAATATGATCCTCATCAACAATCCAAAATTACTCGTAAATGGTATAAATTCATGACTGAACATAATATAAAAGTTCCTTTCTTTGAATATTTGGGAAATTATTACAAAAAAGTCAATACAATTACAAAAACTAAATAGAAAACTTCTTCTAATAGTACTATTAGTTCTAGTCACCCTCCATTAGAAACTATTATCATAGAACACCAAGGATCCAGTATTAAAGCTTCTCCCTTTAAGATAGCTAGTAATGAACCTGAATTAAAGAAAGTTATTGAACAAAATAATTATACTAACCAATGCCTAAAAACAGTTGGAAAACAGTTAGATAAAATAGAAACAAATTTAGATGATTATTCTAATACTATATTCTACAAAACAACCTTTAGAAAAACCTTTACTTAATCTACCTAGTCAACCTTTACGCTTCTCCTTCAACTGAAAAAGGTCTTACTCTTAAACCAACAACCCACTCTCGATGTTATTTCTCATCAATCAGAAACCGACACATCTGACAATAATATTCATCTTTTAGCTCAGCAATTTCAATATTCTAATCTTAATTGAATTACTTATCCTAAAGTAAATCCTACAACTCTTACAAAAAATTAGTACTCTAGGCCTACTCCCCCTGATCTTCAATATGAAGAAACTAATCTTAATAATCAATTTTCTATTTCTGCTAAAAAAATCTACGCATGGAATATTGATGGTCTTAGCAAAGATCAAATCCTTCAAAAATTAAACCATTTATCTATGGTTGCCAATAGTTATCTTAGTAATTACCCAGATTATACTCAACCCGAAATTGGTTCATTAATAACCTCTGGTTTTACTAGTATGTTAAAATCTTGGTGGGAAAAATATCTTACTGAAGATCAAAGAGAATCTATTTTACATGCAAGTCAAAAAGATGAAAATGATTTATCCATATTTGATGAAACAATTGGCTATTATAAACCTGATGGTATCAATACCCTAATTTATACTATAGTCAGACATTTTATTGGCACAACTACTAATATATATTCTAGAATACATGATCAACTTAGTAACCTTACTTATCCCACGTTAAGTGATTTCAGATGGTATAAAGATGTCTTTATATCCAAAGTAATGCTACGCGAAGATTGTACTAAATCATTTTGGAAAGAAAAATTTATTAATGGTCTACCTAGTCTTTTTGCTCAAAAGATTAGAGATGTTCTTAGTCAACCTACTGGAATAATTGAATATGATAATTTAACCTATGGTGATATAATCAGCACAATTCAAAAAGAAGGATTAAAAATGTGTATTGATCTAAAACTTAGTCAAAAAGCTGCTAAAGATAAACATAAAGCTAAGTATGAACTAGGCAATTTCTGTGAACAATATGGCCTACCTCCTATCGCACCCTCTAAGAGAAAGTCCCAAAGAAATAAACAGTTTTCTAAAAAATCAAGTCATAAATATCACAAGAAATATTCTAATTATAAGTCCCTTGATAAGTATTATGATAAACCAAAATCAGATTATAAATCTAAATCCTTTAAAAAATCAAAATCAAAATTTCCTTTCAAATCTCCTTCTAATATTACCTGTTATAATTGTGGGAAAATGGTCATTATTCCAATAAGTGTAAAGAAAAACAAAAATTAAAAGATAAAGTTAATCAACTCCAAATAAATGATGAATCTAAAAATCAATTATTTAAAATTTTCCAGTTAAATCAATTCCCTCATAACTCCTCCACTGACCTACCTAACTCAAATACCTCATCTGATTACCATTCACCTAGTGATACTTCTGATGGTGACATTGAATTACGATGTATTGATACTTGTTGTAAACTTATTAAACAAATCACTGTCCTTTCTAAACAACATCAAGAAGAAACTGCTCTTATTGAACTCATTAGTAAATTAGATGATGCTGAATTAAAATAAAAATATACTGACAAATTAAAATCATTATTATTTAACAAAGACACTAAACCACAACCTGATAAACCAATCATTAGCCTAACAAAAACTTTGGAAAGATTTAAAAATAAACAAAAAGAAATCACTCTTTAAGATTTACAACAAGAAATTAACCAGATTAAACGTCTTATCAAAGATTTACAAAGTAAAGATAAAATTTTAGAAGAAGAAATATCTGTACTAAAAATTAATAAAAGTTTAGACAACTTTCAAGAGAATGATGTCATCTCGTCGAATGAATCTAAAGGCACTAATGACGACACTAATCCAGATATTATTCTGATTGACAATCAATCCCATCCTTTCGATAATCCTGAAAATAAAAGATTGAATCTTATCAATAAAATTAATATTAAAAAATGGCATTAAAAAATCAAATTAGTTGTCAATGATTTTGAATTAGAAGTTATCGCATTAATCGATATTGGTGCTGATCTTAATTGTATTCAAGAAGGATTACTCCTCACAAAATATTATCATAAAACGTGAGAACAATTAACATCTGCTAATGGTAGCAAAATGCATATTAAATATAAATTACCAAAAGTCCATATTTGCCAATAATGTTTGCTTTAAAACATCATTTGTTTTAGTTAGAAATATGACTGATAAAGTTATTTTAGGAACACCATTTATATTTCTACTCTATCCATTCACCACTTCTAATCAAGGAATAACTACTCAAGCCTTTGGCCAAACCATAACCTTTAAATTTCTATCTCCACCTAAAGTTAAAGAATTGTGATAACCCTCACCATTGTTTACTGATAATATTACTGATTACTGCTAAACTGTGATTGAACATGATTAAGTAATTGATTTGACTGACATTCTGAACTGATTGATTGAGTGTATTAGTTTAAACGCATTTCTATCTGTTTGACTGTTAATTGATCTGTTCATGTTTTAAGTTTGAACTGTAAATTGAAGGCCTTATCAACGGCCGAATTTGAAATTGATTAGTGTTTCATGTTAATTAGAATTTTTGTGATTTTATGGTAGATTTGATTGAAATGTGATTTAGAATGATTAAATTAGATTAAAAAGTTGTATTACATCAATTTGAGTTATTTACCAAATAGCCATTAGTGGACAATGCTAGGCCATCTATTAGTCTTGATTTACCTATGCTTGGCATCACTCTTCATTCATCTTCTTAGAGGCAAAATCGACAAGAGAGAGAGAGAGAGAGTGAGAGAGAGTTAGGAGCAAAATTTGGGTTCAACAAGATTTGCTTGGAAAATTGGAAGAATTGAAAGT